TATACTCTGTGCGTAACTCCACTCACACACCTCCACGCAACAGCATAAGCTCCCCGTCCAGCGACAGCACCACTTTGGCTATCATTTCGTATCCCTTAGCGTTCACAAAGTCAGTCTCTAGCAACGCAGAGAAGGCCCCCACAGCAGTTAACAACTCAACGGCAAACCGCAGACTGCGCATTTGAAAGGACACGTCTGTGCGTTCGCGTCGCACGCTTTCGATGAGGTTGCTCATGAATTGCCGCTCTTGCAGCGCGCGTACAAGCTATGTGTGTGGTACATGTGTGCATGTAAGTAGGTGTGTGTGTATGATATATTGTGTGTGTGTGTGTGTGGTACATGTGTGCATGTAAGTAGGCGTGTGTGTATGATATATTGTGTGTGTGTGTCGTATACGTGCGCATGTAAGTAGGTGTGTGTGTATGGTATATTGTGTGTGTTTGTGTGTGTCGTATACGTGTGCATGTAAGTAGGTGTGTGTGTATGATATATTGTGTGTGTGTGTGTCGTATATGTGTGCATGTAAGTAGGCGTGCGTGTATGATATATTGTGTGTGCGTGTGTGTGGTACATGTGTGCATGTAAGTAGGTGTGTGTGTATGACATATTGTGTGTGTGTCTCGTATATGTGTACATGTAAGTAGGGGTGTGTGTGTGATTCATTGTGTGTGTGTGTCGTATATGTGTGCATGTAAGTAGGTGTGTGTCAGTGTGATTTAAAAGTGTGTGTGGAAGTGTGTGCGTGTATCAAATGCCTTCTGTGCGTGTGTGGAAGTACGTGTGTGTGGAAGTGTGTGCGTGTATCAAATGCCTTCTGTGCGTGTGTGGAAGTACGTGTGTGTGTATACACTATATGTCTCTACTCAAACAACTTAACAGCCCATCAAGTCACTCAGTGTCTACACACACTCACAGTTTATATCATCCACCACACTCACAACATACATCACCCACACACACTCACAGCATATACCACCCACACACACTCACAGCATATATCATCTACCACACTCACAGTCTATAGCATCCACCACACTCACAGCATATATCATCCACCACACTCACAGTCTATATCATCCACCACACTCACAGTCATATCATCCACACAGACTCACAGCCTATAGCATCCACCACACTCACAGCATATAAAATCCACCACACTCACAGTCTATAACATACACACACACTCACAGCATATATCATTCACACACACTCACAGCACATAGCCTCCACACACACTCACAGCATATACCACCCACACACACTCACAGCATATATCATCTACCACACTCACAGTCTATAGCATCCACCACACTCACAGCATATATCATTCACCACACTCACAGTCTATATCATCCACCACACTCACAGTCATATCATCCACACAGACTCACAGCCTATAGCATCCACCACACTCACAGCATATAACATCCACCACACTCACAGTCTATAACATACACACACACCCACAGCATATATCATTCACACACACTCACAGCATATAGCATCCACACACACTCACAGTCTATATCATCCATCACACTCACAGCATATATCATCCACACACACTCACAGCATATATCATCCACACACACTCACAGTCTATAACATACACACTCACTCACAGCATATATCATCCACACACACTCACAGCCTATATCATCCACCACACTCACCGTCACATGGCGCGTCTTGCGCTTAGTTCCGGGAGATGACTTGAACATGTGCACAACAACGTCCATAGCCCCATCACGCCATATGACATTCATATTAGTGCTCCTGCTCAGGGTTACTCGGGAGAGCAGCGTGAAGTTGTTATTGCCCTGTAATAGCTCCTGTAGTCCCGCTTTACGGTCCACCAGGTTGGTCAGAAGGCCAAATAACTGTATGAGAATAGATAGCGAATACTTATGAGTGAATGTTCATATACATACATAAAAATATGTCTAATATATATATATATATATACAATATATATATTTATATATATATAGATACAAATACAGACACAAATATCGATATATTATGAATATTATATATATATGTATATATATATATATATATATATATTTATATATATATATATATATATATATAT